CTCCACGCTGCTCAAAAGCATGGCCACGCTGCTGGCCGCACTGGGCGGCCGGCCCGCCCACCTAGGCGAACTGCTGGCCGCCGACACGGGCCAGCCGCTGGCGCCGCTGCCAGATGCGCCCTTTGGCCCGGGGCCACTGTGTCTGGGCCGCTCGCACTCGCTCAGCTGGTGCCGCGAGGCCGTCGCGCGCGAGATCCTCGAGTGCGGCGTGTCCGTGCGACACCTCCGCGCCACCTACGAGCTGCGCGCCCAGGGCTCAGCGCCAGCGCACGCCCAGCGCCGCAAGCTGTCGCAGCCCGCCTGCGCCCCAGGTCGCGAGCCCATCCTCGAGGAGGACTACGTGGCGGCTGGCACGGGCGAGCCCAAGGCCGCCAGGGAGCCCGCGGGCGCCCTGGGCGCGCCCGAGGCGCGGGCCCGCCAGGCGGCGCTGCCCGAGCCCGAGCAGCTGGCGCACCGGCCGCCGCTCTCCACCGAGCTGAGCGGCGTACAGGACTACCTCGACATGCGCAAGGAGCGCATCGTCTACCTCTTTCTGGAGCACTGGCGCAAGTGGACCTTTCGCGGCCCCGGGCGCTTAGCCCAGGCGCGCCTGCGCAGACTGCTGCCCCGCGTGGTGGCCGCCGGCTCGGGCCCCGAGCCTGAGGCCGCAGACTCCACCCAGCAGCCGGCGGGCGAGAGCACGGCCCAAGGCCCAGATGCGCGGCTGCGGCACCTGCTGAAGCAGCGGCAGGTGGTGGGCAAGCTCCTGGGCCACTGGCGGAGCCTGCTGCGGCAGGTGCCAGCGCGCCACCCGAGGGGCCCAGGCCTGTCGCACGGCCTGTACTGGCCCGAGCACTTCCTGCCGCCCCTGGACGGCGGCGCGCCCCCGCGCTACGACAGCCTCACACTGGACCTCTTCATGCTCGGCTACTTCCAGCTGCTGGAGATGGGCCTGAGCCGGGAGGAGCGCAAGTTCCGCCACCTGCTTTGCTACGAGATGTTCGACCGGCTGGGCAGCCACCCGTGGGAGCTCATCCGCCTCTTCCACCGCGTCGTGCTCGAGGAGGTGGAGGCGGGGCGGCGCAGCTGGGGCGACGGATTCGAGGACCTCAGGCGCCAGTTCTTCGGAGACAGCCCAGAGGCTGAGCCAGCCCGCGAAGAACAGGGCAGGAAGGAAGAGGAGGAGAAAGGAGAGGAGGAGAAAGAAGAGGAGGAAAAAGGAGAGGAGGAGGAGAAAGGAGAGAAGGAGCTGGCCGACGACGTTCAGATGGAGGACCGGCCAGAGGACGAGCCCAAGGCTCCGGCCCCTGCACCGCAGCCTCCGCCCGCCGCACCTCCCCCGACCTCGGACCCTGCAGGTTCCGAAGCCCCTGCTGTTGAAGACCCCTTGGAGCTAGTGTCTGAGATGGGCGAATTCAGCGACGAGGACATCTGCCGCTACATCGATCGCAGCTTCTCCTTCTGGAAGGAGAAGGAGGCAGAGCTGTTTGACATATGAGCAGCGGAATTCGGAATGTACTCTCAACGTCTTAACCTGGGCCTGGATGCCTGCCTGGTGCCTTTTAGAGGCCAGAAGCGCACGGGAAGACCCGGGATGGTGGCCTTGAAAAGCCCAAGATGCCCAGGACCAGGCTGTGTCAGCCTTTGGGGTCCCATCAGAGCAGGTTATGGGGCATTGGCCAGGAGAGGCAGGGCATGGCACAGAGCAAACCAGCTGTCCCCCTCTGGCCTTGCTGGGCTGTGTGTGGAGCCAGGCAGAAGACACCCCTTTGAGTGGCGGACAATGAGTCCACCTTGGAGCAGTATGGTGTGGTCTCACTCGCTCTCTCCTCTCTGTTTTCTACTGGAGTTCACAGCTACCTCCTTGGCTGAGGTCAAGGGAGCCACGTGTGCAGTGCTCTGTGTGATGTGTACAGACCCTTTCTCCCCTGTAATTACTTTCAAGAAATAAATCTCTTTGCCGTAAGCTGCCTGCATTGGACACCCTCCCCCGTGTCATTGCAACCCCACAATTGTAGAGCTGGTGACCACTCCATTGGTGAGAGGACAAGCATGGGCCAGAAGGTCTTTCACATACAGGGGAGCCAGAGGCAGCCTGAGACTCCCTGAGCCTACAGAGTGTGTGGGGACCCATGTCTGCCTCTCCCCAGAGGTTACAGACCTGGGGCCACCTGTCCACCCAGCCTTGTGGGGAATCAGGCTCAGGGTCTCTGGGGCTGAACTACTTCATTCTCTGCTCCCGTCCTGCACTGGGCTCTGATCTCTCTGGTGCCTCTTCCGGGACACAGGGGCTGGGTTCTTGGGAGGCAGGAGGACCCCTCTGAGGGGGCTATGACCAGACACTTATTGACTTGTCCCATAGAAGGGCATCAAAAGAGTCTTATCCTATGACTACACCTGCCTCCCATTGTCCCTGATTCCTCCAGGTCCTCCCGGGTTAGGGGTCTAGCCCCATACCTCCCAGACCCTGCTGACCCTGAAGCTTTGTGCTTGTGTTTCAGGAGGAGGAGGAGGAGGCCCGGCTGGCCAGCATGCCTGCCTGGAGGCGGGACCGTCTGCGGAAGAAGCTGGAAGAGGAGAGGTGAGCTGGGGGTCAGGCAGAGGCTAGCCTGGCAGGGTGTCTTGATCATGCCCTTCAAATGGAGGGACCAACTAACACTGTCTTTTTTTCTTTCCAGGGAGCAGAAGCGGTAAGTTGGGGGCCTGCCACCCCTACCCCCACCCATTTGCAGGGGCTTATCTCTTCCTCCAGCCCTATCCTGAGCAAATCCTGTCTCTCAGCCCTTGTAGCACAACCTCTCTGCTCCCGATAATGCCACCAGACCCCTGTCCCCCAATAACTTACTCCCTGTTTCCCAACCTCTTGCTCTTACATTGTGATAAACTTGCTTCCAAATTACCCAGTCCCTATCTTCTATTAACCTAGCTTTTCTGCTGCATAGTTAACCCAACCCCAGTATCAATAACCTTGTTTGTTTAGTTTAAAACTTAGTTTCTGTCCCCATTAATCTAGCCCAGTGATGTCCAATAGAAATATAATGCAAGCCGCATGTGTAATTTAAAATTTTCTAGTAGACACATTGAAAAAAATAGATATAGGTGAACTTAATTTTAGTAATATTGTATTTAACCCAATATATCAAAAATATTATTTCAACATGAAATTTATAGGCTGGATGAAGTGGCTCATGCCTATAATCCTAGCACAGTTTGGGAGGCTGAAGCAGGGGGTGGCTTGAGGCCAGGAGTTTGAAACCAGCCTGGGTAACATAATGAGACTCCATCTCTACAAAACTTTAAACAAACAAACACACACACAAAAAAACCCTAGTGTGAGCCTGTAGTTCCAGCTACTCAGGAGGCCGAGGCAGGAGGATCACTTGAGCCCAGGAGTTTGAGGTTGCAGTGATCTATGCTCGTGCCACTGCACTCTATCTAGCCTGGGAAACAGTGAAACCCTATCTCAAAAGGAAAAAAAAATTATTGAGATGTGTGTATTTTACACCTGCAGTACATCCCAGTTTGTACCAGCCATGTCTCGAATGCTTAACAGCCACATATGCTTGGCTGCTACCCTGTCAACAAAGCAGATCTACCCCTATGTTCTAATTAACCTGCCTCTAATTCCCCAGCAGCCCTGTCCCCTAATTATATGGTCCCACTACTCCCCAACAGTCCAAGCCCAGCCTCAAATAATTCAGACTGACAGCTCCCCAGTAACTTGAGTCCTGGCCCCAACAATCTTGCCCCTGCTCTCTGTAACACCTTCCTCACACAGTGACCAGGCACCTCCGTTTCCAGGAACACCTCCAGCCCCCAACAACCCAACCTCAGCTTCCCACTTGCCCAGTTGCGGTGTGTGCCAATAACTCCAGTCCGCCCCCAGGAAAGCCCCTCTGCCCTTGGTAACCCAGCCCCTGCCTTCAACCCACTGCTGGCCACCAGTGATCCGGCAGGCTGCGGTCCTGGTGCCGGGGTCCCCTTTCTGCCAGCCCCAGTGTCTGCCTCCAGGCTTCACTGGGTTCTGCCCCCGCCCGTCTCCAGGCAAGAGGAGGAGCGGCAGAAGCAGGAGGAGTTGCAGCGGGAGAAAGAGCAGTCGGAGAAGCTGCGGACACTGGGCTACGATGAGAGCAAGCTGGCGCCCTGGCAGCGACAGGTCATCTTGAAGAAGGGGGACATCGCTAAGTACTAGACGTCACGGCCTCCTTTCCGCAGCCTCGCGAGTTCGGAGGGGGGGGGACCCACCACACCCCTGTCCCTGCCTGGGCACAAGGGCTGGGAACCGCACTACTGTCCCCTCCCGCGCTGGAACCCCTCCCTGACCCCCAGCACCCTGGCCCCCGCATTCCCAGCCCTCGACGCTGGAGCGCGCCCGCCGCCGCCGCAGTAAAAGTGCCCAAGCTGCTGACGCAAAGAAAAAAAAAAAAAAGCTGCTTATTTGCATGCCGACTTAACACGGATTTGCATGTTGGTTGAATGTCAAAGTGTACAGAGCTCTCCCCAGCCCCGTGGGTGGTACTTTGTTTCCCAGCCAGGCGTGCGCTCAGCTGCAGCCCCTCCCCCGCTCCCCGGAACCCGCGTGGCGGGCGCATCCTGGGCGGAGGCAGGCCCCGAGCTCGGGGACGGGGTTTTCCTCCCTCCCTGACCCAGATCTGCGCTCAGCCCCAGCCCGGGCCGCATTTCTCATCCCCGCCGACGTTTTCCTCTCAGTCATTTGTTTACCAGAAACGATGAAGACGGCCCGTCGGGACGGAGTTGCCGCTCCCGGGGCCCCGCGTCTGTCCCCGCCTCCCTCCAGTTAGGTCTGTGCGCGGTCCCCAGCCGGGCCCCTGGCTCCGGACCCTTCCACGGCCCCGGTGGAGGACGAGGGGCCGAGCCTGCGTCTCCAACTGCTGCCCCCGTCGCGCCCCGCCGCTCGCACCCCCATTAAAGCTCTCTCGGCCGCCGGGCTCACGCTCACTTTCACTCGCCGTCGCGCGACTCCGGGCACCTGGGCCACGGCGACGCGGGAGGGCCTGGGCGCTGCGGCCACGCTGGGGGACGAGACCCTCGAGGCCCCTGGAAAAGCCTGGGCCGGTGACCGCCCCCAGCCCCTCAGAACGACAAGCACAGCTTTTCTTGATGGATTTAATGCGCAGGGCTCAGCCACGCTCCGGCCGAGCGGCGGCGGAGCAACCTCTTCGCCGCGGCGCACGGTCCGCCGGAACCGGAGTTCTGGGGTGAGCGCGGCGCGGCCGCTGGCGCTGCTACGCAGGGCCGGGCCCGGGGCTTAATAAGTGACATAAAATGTCTACACGCGTAAGTAACCGTACTTAGGGCTTCTGCAAGGGCCACCAGAGCGCGGAGGTGGCGCGTGGCCTCCCGCCTCACGGGCAGCGCTGCAGGCGGCTGCGCAGGTCCTCGGCGCAGCCGTCCAGTCCCATGCGCTCCAGGGCCGCGTAGACGGCGCCCAGGCCGGCGGGCTGCTGCTGGCGCCAGCGCTTGAGCATCTCGTACTGCTGGTCGCGGAAGCGGCCGACCTCCACCTCCACGGCCTCGATCTCCGCCTCGCGCAGCCCCAGCGTGCGCACGAACTCCTTCCAGCGCCGCGCGGGGACCGCGTCCATCACGTCGTAGAGCTGCGGGCCCGGCTGGAGCGCGGCGGCCGCCGAGCCTGCAGGGGGCGCTGGCGCCGGAGGAGGGCCTGGGGGCGGGGCCAGAGAGAGCCAATGGGGAGCGCGGCCCGCGGCCAGGAGGCGGGGCCAGGGGCGCGCAGGGCCCCCTGGCAGGAGGCCTGCTGGGCTGGGCAGGGAGGCTGGGCAGTTAGGGAGCAGAAAGCGGGCAAGGGGGGGAAGCACAACTTCCCACCTCAGACCTAGGAGAATGCGGTCAAAGCCTCAGGCCACTGAGGTCACTTACCAAGAGCTCTGCTGGGCAGCTGGCCCCAGGGCCATGGCACCTGTGGACAGGGCGCCTCCTGGGTCTGGAGGGAGCCAGGGGCCCGGCTCTTCTCTACCAACTGGACAGTGCAGACCTCGCCGTTGTCGGGGAGCACCAGAAGGGTGTGGGCACTGTCTGAGGGGGAGAGGTGGGTGGCCTGGAAGCCAAGAGAGGGTCAGGTCAACCCTGCCTGCATAATAAGGCCCCTTTGCTGCAGTCCCTGACTAGGAATGGACAGTCCCTGGCTCAGTTGGCAGATGCCCCCCAACGCCACCTCCCCCATCGTCCCTGCTCTCTCACTGTGACCCAGCAGAAGAGCTCTTGCCTCTGCCTAGAAAAGCCTGCCCCTCCTGCCCTCCTCTTGTCCCCCCAATCCCACAGGGGCACCCATCCCATTGAACTGTTAGCCCCTGTGTACTCATCTGAACCCCAGCTGCCTGAGAGCCCCTTGAGGGCAGGCACTGTGCTGGTCTCAGCCACCGATACCTCAGCATTGTCTATTATGTCTAACCCGTGCTGGCCACCGTGCCAAGCCCTGGGGATCACAAGTTATAAAGCCCAACCTCCCGGCTCCAGAGGCAGCCCAGACACTGGTCACCCTCTTCCCAGCACATTTTGAGATTCTTACCGGTGGGGTCAGAGCCTCTGTCCCAGCTTCATCTGCTGTCAAAGACAAAGAGGGTCTGGTCAGCAACCAAGCAAGCTGCCTGGATCTGGGTGCTGGTCCAGCTCCTCTGGGGTTCCTCTGTACCCCGTACTCCTTACCTCAGTTTCACCTTTCCTATAAGGGTTTAGTGTGCTCTGAGCTACTCATCCTGACCCCAGGCCCCTGGCACAGTGTGTGTGTATATGTATGTATGTAGATGTGTGTATGTGTGTGTGTGTGTACTTACCAGGAACCATGGGGTTGTGAGACTGGCAATGATGGTATGTGTAGGTCAGGGTGGCCCCAATCAGAAGTGGGACCACCAGGCCAGCCAGGAGCACCTGGACCCAGAACACTGAAAGAGCAGTAGTGGGTATCAGGTGGTTGCCACCACTCACCTCCCCTTGGGCCATCCCAGCTCTCCCACCTGCATTCCCAGCACACAACCTACTCTGCTTCCAGCCACACACAGCAGCACAGGGCTCAGGACAACTCCCGAGGGTGCTCCTGCAAGGGAGGGGAGATGGGCTGAAGCAGTACAAAGGAAAGGAGGGTGGGGCTACCCAGGACTGCCTGACACCTCCATCCTTGGAAGCCCTTCCCTCCCCATACCTCTCTCCTCACTCTACCCAGGAATGTTCCTGAAGTACTACTGAAATGTCAATGTGTACCCCAAAACAATAACCACCACCATTATGCGCTGACCTTCTTCTACACTAGATTAAGAATCACTAGAGGCTGGGTGCAGTGGCTCACGCCTGTAATCCTAGCACTCTGGGAGGCCAAAGACGGGTGGATTGCTCAAGGTCAGGAGTTTGAAACCAGCCTGAGCAAGAGTGCGACCCCATCTCCACTAAAAATAGAAATAAATTAATTGGTCAACTAAAAATATATAGAAAAAATTAGCCGGGCATGGTGGCTCATGCCTGTAGTCCCAGCTACTCAGGAGGCTGAGGCAGAAGGATTGCTCGAGCCCAGGAGTTTGAGGTTGCTGCGAGCTAGGCTGATGCCACGGCACTCTAGCCCAGGCAACAGAGTGAGACTCTGTCTCAACAACAACAACAACAAAAAGAATCACTAGAATGTTGACTCCAAAAGGATAGGGATTTTTGCCTACTTGGTTCCCTGTTGTATCCACACTTCCTAGGAACAGTGTGTGGAAGACGGCAGAGCTCAAAAAAGGCTTGAACGGATAAACGAATAAAGTGCCTTCCCCCGTATCCTTGCCCTGAGAAGCCCTAATAGCATCCCCATGTTTAGAGGGGGAAACCACATGGCAGAGAGGTTCCCGCTCTGAACTTGCCCAGTGCAATCCAATTCCTGATGGTAATTCTGGCAGAAAGTGAAGATATGCCCCCTTATTTCTCTGGCATAAGGTGAACCTAGATTTCTTTTGACTGTCCAAAGTTTGCCTGCAACAGGGCCCAACAGGGCCAAGCTCCCTCCTCCCTGTCCCCTCCTTCTATCCCTGAACCAGCAGTACCTGTCCCTGAGGCCCCCACCCTGCTCCCAGCCTCCCTTCCCTCTGGCCCAGGACAGCCAGGAAGTTACGTGGGGCAGGGCACGCAGCCATCACCATGCTCATAGAAGCCAGGCAAGCAGGTCCCACAGTCAGCGTCTCTGCTAGAACCTGCAGTCCAAGAGAGGGGTCAGCACGGAGCAGGGCAGGCAGAGGGGTTTGGGAGGAGATAGCCCAGGATGGGGGTACTCACAGGACAGCAGTGTGTGGCGGTGCAGGGTCCCACAGTCTAGGCACTGGCGGCAGTGGAAGGGTGAACTGCTGCTACATTGACTGACCTTGCACTCGACAAACCAGCCTGGCTGACAGCCACAGTGGGTGTCCGTCACTGCTGAGCAGTTCTCCAGGGCCACCTGGGAGGCTGGCGGGCGAGGGAGATGGGGGTGCAGAGGTGGTCAGGGCCAGAGACTCCCACAGAGGCAGGGACAAACCCCCAGAGAATGGAGACAGGGATAGGCCAGAGTGACAGGCAAGGAAACCCCCAAAGAGACACTGAGACCACCACCAGGAAGGAAGAGGACCAGGGTGTCCTGCAGCAGGATCTGGGTCCAGTATTCAGTGGAGGGTGGGCACAGGGTCCTCATACCTGAAGTTTGGGCCCAAGCCAGCAACTTCCTTCAGAAAGACCTTGGTCAGGGCTTGTCCTTAGGAGCCCCCCCCCCAAGCACTGGGCAGCCCCTCACCCTGCTCATCACAGGCCTGGCAGCGGGTACAGTAAGTCATATAGTGGTTGTCTCTGGCCAAGAAGGTGCCCTGGGGGCACGGATGGCAGGTGGAGGTGCCACAGGGCTTTGTGCAGGGGGCCTTCAGGTAGTGCCCTGTGGAACCCAATAGGGGTCAGATGGTCAAAGGGGGCTGTCCAGCACCACCCAACCTGCTCCCCAACCTCTCCCTCCCTATCTCTGGCTCCTGCTTCACTCCCAGCCCAGCCCAGCCTGCCTACCACCTCTCCCCAGTGCTGCCTATTCCACCTGCCCCCATGCCCCTCCCGGCCCTGCACCCACTTACCTGCTGGACAGCCCCTGCAACAAAACGCACCAGTCCTCTTCTGGAAATCACTGGCACAGTCACACCTGGGGCTCGGAGTGCTGCCCTGGGCCTGGGCACCAAGCAGCACCAGGAAGAGCACCTGGGGGAAGGTGCTGCTTGGTGGCTGCCCTTTGGGGACCTCTCCCTGCCTGGGCTCCTTCATTTCAGAGGCCCCAGCATTTGCCAGCATGAGTGGGGGGTAAGACTGACTTCCTTCCCCCTGTGCACAGACCAGGGGGAGCAGGGGAGGAGGCTCCTGCCAACTTCCACCAGCAGGAATCCCGCAGCACCCCTCCCCCACGCGTGCTTTCTGCGAGGCGGGGACAGAGCCTTCCCGCCAGGCCCCCAGACCCCTTTGGCCCCTGGGAGGGGTTTCCTTTCAGCGGAAGGGCCCCACCCAGGCGGAGCCTCTAACTAGGTCGGAAGGGGCGGCCTGCTCAGCCCCCAGCGGGGCCAGGCAAGGAGCCTCGCCCAGAGCCCTTCCTTGCCTATGCCCTCAGAGCCGGCAGAGGGCTCGAAGCTATCCCCCGCCTCCCGCGTCCCCACTCACCACAGCTGCCACAGCCTGCCTACCACAGCCCCCCGGCCGCGGCTCCATGGCCTTTTGGGGCACTGGGCCCTGGGACAGGCGTGGGGGGCGTCCGTGCCCCAGGGCCTTCCCAGCTCCACGCGCTCTGCCCAGCCCCAGCCACAAGGCCGGCCCCGCCCCATCGAGGAAAGCCCGCCTGGGAGACAGGGCGGAGCTCCATGGATGCCGCCCCAGCCCACAGAGTCCCCCAGCCTGCATGCCCGCCCTGTGCACCTTAGCTCATCTGGCGCTGGTGGCCAGGCCCCAGGGGCGACGGGAAGTGCCAGGCGGGAACTGCCCCACTACCTGCTGCCACTGAGAAAGGTGCACAGGAGAGCTGCATCCCTGTCTCCAGGCCTGAGTCTAGCCCCACCCCTGAGAACCAGGTGGGGCAAGCGACTTCCCCTCTCTGGGCCTCAGCACCCCCAGCCATGGTGGGGTAAGGGGGTGTTGTTGGACCTAAATTACCTGAAGGGAACCAGATGGGAGACCCACCGTCCCCAGGGTAGGACTGAGCCCTGGGTTTGAGGGAGCACCCCACGAGAAGATCTAGTGGCAGAGCTCATAGCTGAGGCAGGGAGAGGGTCCTGGGGTGTTGGTCTGGTCACATCCCTACCCCTGCCAATTCACAGCTGCCTCCTAAGTGTGTTCCATTGGCACCCCACTGCAGATGGAGGGGCACAGGGGCACAGGAAAGCACCCAACCTGAGCTCTAGCTGAGCCCCAGTGCACCTGAGCCAGGAAGGGGGTACCCTCCAAAAGCAAAGGACTCTTTCCAGTGGAGTATGTACAAGTCTTTATAAAAGAATCAAAAGCTCAATAAATATGCAAATTACACAGAGCCCAGCCCAAACCTGGGGTGGCCAGTGGGACTTATGGAGGGTGGGGAGAGGGCAGGAGCATGGCCCACCGAAGGCCAGATGAGGGTACGGTGGGAAGGGCAGCCTGGGAGCCCAGCCCAGAGGAGCTGGTGACTTCAGGGAGCAGGGCACAAGGGACTGCCTGGGCAGGTGTGTGGGGGCTCCTATAGCCTGGGCTGGGGCCTCTAGCAGGCCCTCCTTCACTCCATCCAGTCTGGCAAAGTGCAAATCGGTCCCAGGTGGCGCAGAGGTCCTGCTCAGGCTCCGGCTGGTGCACACAGGAGGCGGCAGCTGAAGCAGGCGCTGGCACCCCCAGGAGGCATACTGTCTGCTGTTCTTGGGTCAATGGCACTCTTGGGGGCCTCCCTCTGCTCAGACCTCTCTGCAGGGTGGGGAGAGACAGTCCTTTGGCTGACGGGCTCACAGGGTGGCTCTGGCACCCTCTCCTCTACTGTGACCCTCAGGCCCCTTCGCTACTGCCGGCCGTAGATGCCAGCACCCAGACACTGGGGCAGGGTTTGGCTCCCCCTGTGATCACCACCCCCAAATACCCACCCTCCTAGTCATAACTGAGCCCCCAGTGCCAGCACACTGAGCCACCTGCCCTCTATCCCAGGCCAGGCCACTCACGAGGCAGTGAGCGTGGAGTTAAGCAGCAGGGTGGTCCTGATTCGGTAGAGCTGGGCCAGTGTCAGCTTCCTGTGCTGAGCAGAGACCCCTGTGGGGGGCTCCGGCTGGACGCTGGGACAGCTCCCTGAGGGCAGCTCTCTGCACCTCCTGGCGGGACCCACAGGCTCCTCGGCCAAGCAGCTGGCCCTGTTCTCAGGCTCTACTGGCTTGGGGCCGCTGCCAGGGCTAGATGCCACCCTGCAATCCCAGCTGGGCCCAGCTTCCCGAGAGCAGCCCTGAGTCCTAGTGCCTGGGGCTAGAGCGGCCAGGCAGAGCTCTGACAGGCTGCGGCTGGGGGCTGGGGGTGCCGCATGGGTTCCAGCCCCTGACAGCAGCTGGAGGAGGCTGGCCTCAGATTTGGACTTGAGCAGGTGGGGCAGGCAGGGCAGTAACTGGACAGGGGTGCGGCGGCGGAGGCGGGGCGATGGCAGTGGGGAAGGGGCTCGTGGTAACTCGGGGAGCCGGGGCACTGGCTCCGACACAGGGGGTGGGGCTGCAAAGTCTTGCAGGGAGGTCGGGGAGAGGGTGCCATAGGCAGAGTCCATGGAGCAGGAGCAGCCATCCACCAGGCCCAGAGGCAGCAGCTCTCCCGTGGGCGTGACGGATGAGGCAGTGGTGCTGAGAGAGGTCTCATCTGACTGGGAGCTGAAGGGGCCGCCATCAAACTCGGGAGAAGACAACACCTCCACAGGCTCCACCACTACCATGGCCAGGGTCTCCGTGGAGCCTTCCGAGGCACTGTGGGGCCGGGAAGAGAGTCAGCCCGGCTAAAGGAAACCAGACGGCCTGGGGCAGCCCATGCTGGGCAATGCACAGAGGTCTGCAGCCTCTGCCTCCAGGAGCTCGAGGCTTAGAGATGGCAGCCTGGGGCACATGTGCCAGACCTTCTGACCCCTGTGGCCACAACAGGCATCAGTAACAGATCACAGCACTCTTCCCTGATGAGACTGCATGCACTCTAACAATCCTCAGCTTGGTGCTCCAGACAGCTACCACTAACAGATCAGAACTGGCAAGCAATTCAAAAGCTCTTTGCCCTGCCCACCTGGACTCTGGTGGAAGATAGAGACCCCCGAGACACACACACACACACACACACACACACATCTGGGTTTACAAGATGAGACCATTCAGAGGAAGGGGAAGTGGCTGGGCCTTGCGGTTAGGAGTCCTGGGCTGGAATGCTTGCCCCGCTGTGGCCTACTGGGTGGTCTTAAGCAAACATACCAGAGCTGGGAGTCGGGACTGTTGCTGCTTCTGCGCAGGATGGTGGGGGAGCTGGCACCCGAAGTGCTACTCTCCTCCCCTTCCTCCTCCTCCTCCTCTTCTTCCTCCTGTTCATCCTCCTCCTCTACCAGGCTCTGCAGGTGCTGCTGGCTGCTTGGGTGTTCCTGCGCACGCAGCTGCTGGAGCTGGTTCTGCACGCAGGGGTCGGGGGTGCATGGGGGCAGAATGAGCTGTGATCAGTGGCCCCCGCGGTCCACGCTCCTCTCACCCTCCACGCTCCTCTGCTCTCACCTGAGCATTGTAAATGGCATCTACCCAGCCACGGCACAAGGCCTGGCCGCTGGCCTGGAACGTGTAGGCCGCCACAGCACTGTGAAACTCATTCAGGTAGATGAGGAGGAAGGAGCCTGGGTAGGGAAGGCCCAAGGCAGTGTCAGCCACGAGGACAGTCCCTGTCCATCACAGCCCCCGCCCAGGAGCAGGGGCCAGGGCTCCTCACCAGGGTCCCGCAGCTCCCGGCACACGATCTTGTCTACCAGCAGTGGTGGCCTGATGACTTTGGTCCTCTCGGCCTTCTTCACTGCCTTGGTCACCAAGAGCAGGTCCGTGAAGAGGAAGCAGTACACGTCCATCTGGGGTGGAGCAGGAGAGCTGTCAGGCCCCACAGCCCCCCAGGAGCACTCACTCCCCTGTCCCCTAGTGAACCTTCAAGTAAAATTAAAATGAAGGGGAAGATGGTTCTTTTTCATGGATATATATATATATATGTATGATTTATTTCAGTAGAAGTTTAGATTAAAAAGAAAAGGGAGGCTGTTTTAAAATCACAGTTTGCAGGTTCTTGGCTCCCCAGTGCTTGCAGGGTTAACAGCACAGCAGCCAGGCACGGGGGCTCCTGGCCCACTTATGGAATGAGCCCCTCCCTCCCACCCAGAACCCCTCAGTAGGCAGGGGTTACCCCTCATAGCCCTCCCAGGGCTATGACTCTGCTGCTCAGGTTGTAAAGAGTCAAGTGCAGGCAAGTAATCATCCCTCACTACGGCCACAAAGTCACTGGCTCTGAGTCACCACCCAGCTGGCTGAGAACCACTGACGGGGTTCCAAGTTCCAAGAGGCAAGAGGGGGCGAGGGCTCAGCCCTGGGGCCAGGGCAGCCCTGGCGCCACCTTGCTGTCCTTCCCCTCCTTCATCCTCAGGCTCCCCTCCAGCAGCAGCTGTCGGGTCTCCTCCAGGGGGGCGCCGGAGATGGGCACTGTCAGGTCCAGGTGCAGAAATTCCTTCAGGAGCTGGGGGTGGAGGGGAGAGGGTGGAGGCACAGGGGAGGTCAGGGCCTGACTCCCCATCTCGGCTGGCAGTCCTTGAGTGAGACTCCCTGTCTGCCCTTCCCCACAGGCACACGCGCCCACCTTGTCCACCTCGTCGTTGCTGCCCTCCACCACCTCGTAGGCGTCGATGCGGCTTGCCACGGCGGCCAGGCGCTGCCGCTCCTGTCGCTGCCGCATGCATGTGTTCACGTGGTGGATGAAGCGCTCCACCGAGTCGATCTAGGTAGGGGCAGGCGAAGGGGGCTTCAGACCCGGGTCGCGGAGGAACAGAGGGCTGCGGAGGGCCACGCCCACCATGCCGGTTACCATGGTAACGACGGCCTCCTTGGTGCGTGGTTCATCCGTCTTCCTCAGCACCGACTTGAGCAGCAGCGGGTACTTGGTGAGCCGCTGATGGGGCTTGGCCAGCATGTCGCTCAGTTTCAGCCGCTGGCACTGCGGCTGCTTCTCGGCCCACTGTGGATAGGAGGTGGGGCGGGGCTCGGGACATGCCACGCCCCCGACCACGCCCTCGCGGCCACGCCCACCGCGGCCCATGCCCCCGAGGTGCAGGTGGTCCCGCGCCCCTGCCCACGGGCCGGCCGCCCTCACCGTGACATAGGCCCGGAAGAGGTCGTTGTCGCGCAGCAGCCCGCGCATGTACTCCATGCAGCCCTCCTCCTCCATGCAGTATCGGACGTAGGGCTTGAACAGCGAACCGAACTGGCCCGGGGCAGAGCACGGGTCACCGCGCCTGGCGAACCGGCCCCGCCAGGCGCTTCCCAAGCGCCTCCTTACTGCGCTCAGGCGACCACGGGGGGCGGGGGGGCAGCTCACTATCCCTGTTTCCAGATGAGGCACCTGAGCCTCAGCGAAAGTGACCACCCGGACCACCCGCCGCCAGGTAGCATGAGCAGATGGCCAGGTTCAAACTCGGGCAACCGCCTCGCAACTGCTCGCCTTTGGCCGCTAGGGGACATGCAGTTTCACTGGCCAGGGACAGGCTGGGGAGGATGGGCAGATGGGGTCGGGCCGCTGAGCCTTCTCGCGCCCCAGCCCTGCCTCGGTGTCCCTGCCTGAGCCCGGCCCCGCCCGTACCGTCTTGAAGCCTTTCAGGAAGTCGCCGGGCTGCAGGAGCGCCCGCGTGCGCCTCGCCTTCTCCAACACCGGCGCCATCACGCTGCCCCACAGCCCGCGGTGCAGCCGCACGATCTCCGGGATGTTGCTGAACAGGCGCTCGGCCTCCACCTGCTCGGGCGGGAGGTGAGCTCGGCCTGGCCCCGCCCCCCAACAACTAGCCCCGCCCCACGCAAGGCCCCGCCCCAGGCCCCGAGGCCCCAGCCCCGCCTCCGTCGCCCTGGGCCCAGGCGCACCTCGCACAGCAGCCCCGACTCCTGCAGGTTCAGAAGGCAGCACAGGAACAGCTGTGGGGGCAGGGGAAAGCTGCAGGTGAGGGTCGTCCCAGCCCAGAAGCCCCACCCAGACTCGGGCTCCCCTTTACCCCTTCCTTCTCCTGGGAGGCCCTGAAACTCCAGGGACAAAGAAGGGTACCCTTTGGCCTTCACACCTGGGAGCTCCAGAGCCCCAGGAGAGGCCCAGCCCCAGAGCCCACCTGGG